AGGTTTCGCAATCAGGCTGGGCGCAAATGCTTTTATTGCCTGAGGTTCAAAGATGATGTCAGCAACCCTGTTGGCACGAAGGGTGTTGCTGGACAATCATATAAAATCGCAGTCTTCTTCTATTGAGATGTAGTATGGGGTATGGGGGGCAAAACATGGAATTGGTGTTTACATCGATGCTTTCTTTATGAGCGGCGTGACTGAATCAAACCAATGAAACACAACAACGGCAGGCAACCCTAAAACCAAACACAGACCAGTAGTAAGATTTAGGCTTTTCCAGATGACCATGCACAGTTCTCAAGTTGCCTGAGACATTCAGCAGCAACGGCAATGAAGTCACTGGTAAGCCAAAGTGATGGCATCACACCCACCAATCAGGAGGAGAGACTGTAGTCCGTAAAGTATGTCGCGCCCTTAAATATTAGAATTCTCAATTGAGAGTAGGGCAAAACTATGAAAAAGTTATTAGAGAGAAATTACTTGTTCGACCAATTTGATTACTATTCGTCCCACATTGTTTTCATTCCGATGGATTCATCTCCTAGCCAGCTGGCCTCCTAATGTCATGCTCCATCGGCATACATCAATCACTGTCGTACCCCACCACACACCACCATTACCTATGTGCTTGTTTGAAATGTAACGAGTAAGGGGGAGAAGTGAAAGTCTACCATTGCCAAGACTCCTTTGGAAAGCTTCCAACAGTTTGAGTGCCAGTGACTGTTCTGTCCTTTTGGCTAACTAGACACTTCCATTAACTATCTGCGGCTGTATGGCCCCCACCTCACCTGGTGCGGCTTTTGCTTGTCCATCACTAGCCCATGTGCCCAAAGCAATTATATATTGAACTCTTTCCCCCTCCGCCTGCTTGATGGGCATGGCTCAGTCAAGTGAGCCCTTCCTACTTTTTCTGGCCATATAAATCAAGACTTTTGGCCAGTTGGCCTTTGACCAGTGAACACCACCTCCAAACACACCCCGCAGATTACGTGTTTCATCCGGTGTTGACTGCAGTTACCCTTATATCCATCATTATCACTCCAGGCGGTGCCTCTTCTGACACTTTGTTATCCTCACTACAGCGTATGACAGGGTTTTTCCCATTCCACCCATCAGCGTCTTTTTCCAGACCAATGTGCACTGCTGCGACACTCTCTGATAGCTCACCGCTGAGTCAAGTTGTTCCAAGCTGTGAGCCAGCAGCGTCCTCTATTTCGGCAGAGTGTCAACAGGTGGACGGCTAACCAGCAGCATGACCTTCAGGAGTCTCTCTTCCTTCCTCCTTCTATGCAACTCAAATCTCAACCTAGTTATATTCATCCTGAAGTGGGGTTTCCCAACCGATATGTGCTACTATGTATTACCATCAACTGCGCGTTAGCCCTGGAACTTCCATAACAAAACATTTCACCGCCGTAGCTACCAGGCCAATTCATATTTACGATAGATTTTGCCTGTAGGGATTAGGTGACCATTTTGATTATAGCAGAGTTCAATGACAAATTTCGCCTCCTTAAAAGTGTATTAAACAATAAAAGAAACACAAGGAATGATAGATAACTTGCATACTATGCAAAATACTTTTTTAGGCAAGTTTTAGTGATTCTAAGCCCCTCGAGGGCATGCTATGTTATGCTTGTTTCCCTGCGTTCTGCTGGGATTCAGAAGAGATATATAATTATTTTTTGACTGCTGCGTCCAGTACAGAGAATGAAGGAACAAAATAAGCAAATATTAAGCTTACTCCATGATGTGTGCAGATAACTAAACCCTTGGCAACACGCTTCTGAACTCTGTGTGGTTAATAGATTGGATGCGTTTGTATAGGAAAGTCCGTAACATTAGATGTTGACATTTGATGGAGTTTCTTTGAATAATCTCAGGCATTCCTGCTGCTCCCACTCCCCCTCCCACCTCTCTGCTGCCCCTTTGTGCGGCTGAAAGCAATCCAAGTCATAAAAGAATAATTATTTATCACTCCCTCACATCAGCGAGACTGTGCCAATTTAGGCTGTCTTTTCTTAATACAACAACATTGTAACCGTTTGGACACTTTGCATGTGGGAAACTGTGGCTGCAATAAATGAGACGCCACCCTTAAAAAACGTTGTGATAAATTATTATTCTTAAACAAAACAATCATTCAGCCCCTAAATGACAGGCAGTGTTCCGGCTTGGGAAAGCGAGAGTCATCGCCGGAGTGTTTTTATTCCGGTCTTCTCTTGGGGGAATTATTTGCCATTTTGTGTTTCATTTCTAATTGTGATGCTTTCTTTGCCTTTCGGGTGCCCTCATACATACTATAAATAGCACAGTGAGCAGTTATGCACATTTGCCTCCTTTGCAGTAAGATGAGGCGAGGGTAAGAAGCTTACATTTTCCGATGCAGAAAGCTAGGTAATCAGAAACCAGCTCAGGCATCGGGACACCAGTGGTTGTTTGAAGCATTATGAATTACATAATTGCCTTCCTATAGCTTTCTATCTACAAGGCTGACCAGATATCCACTGTCTTCCCTGTGACATGATCGGCTATGCCTGGGCGCAAGTGTGGGTGAAAGGCTAGACCCAGTTGGATGGTGTGTGGGTGTGTGAGGAGGCGCCTGAGCGGAGATGTATCAAAAAATATACCAGGCAGCCTCCTTGCATAGCAATCATTGTAATGTTAGAAAGCTGTACTGAACATGACTTGTGTTCATCGTAATACCCTTCCTCAGCTAACCAACAGTACGGCCTGTCAAGGACAGTTTGCCCTGGCCCTGCACGTGTTCACTATAATAAAGTCTTACTTACCCTTAACACTATGCAACAGACCATTTGAATAAGTTAAACAATGTTTAAGCTTTTGAATTAGCCGAATGCATCGTTGGGTTTTTAGAATAGGTGAATTTTCTTAAGGTAGCATGGATAAGATTGGGCCGTTTTTTGGCCCCTACAATCTGATCGCAGGCTCGTGCTTTACGAAGAAGATGAACGAGTGGAGTTCTTCGGGGGGAAGGTATGGTGCGTTCCACAGTAAACTAAAACTAATTTGACTTCCGGTGAGTTTACGAGGGGCTCTGAAATCTGATGTGTCATGGTTGGCTCTATAACATTCGTTAATGAGCTCATGGTGTCGAAAAATCCAAAACCATACAAAGAAAAAAAACAAAGCCTGGATCAAACTCAACATTAGCATTTAATAACTTTCAATACCTGGATGCGTAGAAGAATGACAAATGCACTGTGCACATTCTAAACAGCACGCTATACTATATCGTCTTTTCCACCCAACCCGCTTCATTACCTTTAATGAATAACTTGACAAGGAGATGTTGAAAAACACGCACACATAGGAGCGCACGTGTAGTTGTCCTGGCCCATAACCGCGCTCAGGTTCCTACTAAGGCAGTGAGAAGCCAGCCAGCACAGCATATGTAAGCTATTAAATGCTAAGGGATCATGTTAGCCGCCGCACTCTCAAAGTGAAGCAACCGTTTAAAAGCAGAATAATGGTTCAAGGGGATTTATGTGTGCTTGGATCTGAGGGGCGAAGAGACATAAATACACCAGGATGAATATTGATTAATAGATTACTGTAGTCTTATATATCACCAGATCAAGAACCTGTCGTAGTTTTTCTTTAGGTATTTGTGGCGTCTTTTGACTTTCTGTAGCCTCCAGTTTGGACTTGTTGTGATAAGATGCAGAAGATAACAGTTATTTATCTATGAGGATTCTTCATGGGGCAAAAGACCTGAAACGTGCTAAAGTGTGTTTGCGATTTGTTGATAGCAGCAGGGTAGAGTCAGCCTCCATCGGACACATTGAATCACATGTAAATAAACCATTAAAGCAAGTTCACATGAAGCAACTGATGGTGACGCTTGGAATTCAGAATGTTATATAACATATCTGACCGCTGGGCAAGATTACCATTCTAAAAGAATAACACAGTCAGACCATCCCAGCAATTAAAGTTGCATGGAAATTGCAGGCACCTATCAAACCGCTTTGTTCTTGCATAGAAGCAAATATCCTAGCCCATTATCCTAAAAACATCTGTTAAAATGGGTCAAAATAAGGGCAAAAATAGAATTTCTCATAAATGGAGATGTAATCCAAAACAACTAAGGTACGGTTGAGGTTATTGATAGATTACACTGAGCTAAGGGTTAGGCTTATATTGTGGTTACATGTTAGGATGCAACTCAAGCATACCACGTAAAAGGCAAACTACATGCTACTTTTTGGTAACACTTCAAAAAGGACTCGATGCTTCCTGCGTCAATACTCGACCATTATACGTGTGGGTCGGAGAACACACTTTCCTTGGCCTATTGTGTGTCCTGCTGAGTCCTCCTTGAGATGTGAACCTGCTGCCCTCTTGCTCTCCTCTCTTCCCAGGAGCATCTTAACCTCCAGTGATCATTCTGTCCTCCTCTGATGGACTGTTATAACACAGAACACCCACACACTCATGTTACATTCCCTGCACTCATTGTGCCGTTCCTCAGGGCCGGATTAATCACCGTCCGACATGTGACACAGACGTGAGACTTTCTTTGGCTCCCGCTGTCAAGCCTGACATTCGTAAATCCTTAAACCACAGGAGTGTGTTATAATGTACAGCAGTAGATCATTGGTGGCAGGTACAGACACTGTTTCACATTGAATGCAGAGCTTTAGAGTGTTGTGGTTGGATATATACATCCAGTCACATTATATTTATTTTAACCCTTAGATGCACGAGTGACTGGTCCCTACCTTCTTCCATAAGTGGGTCAAAAAGGACCCGTATTAGAATAATGTGTTTTTATGCCATTTTTGTCATTTTGGTTAATACAAATCACTTCTATAATATTTAGTATTATATTTTTGTTCACACTAGAAATATTTTATATTTAAGTTTTCACTGTTTATAATAGAAATTCCATAGAAAATGCATGCGGGTCATTTTCGACCCACTTATGGAAGCTTGGAGTAGTAATACAAAAACTACAATTTTTTTAAATGTAAATTTAAGATTAATGATATCCAAAACGTGTTTTTTGAGGAATAGCTTGAATATGAAATGATGAAAAAATGTAATTACAAAGATACTTCAAGAATACCACCTCACCGGGTCAAAAAAGACCCACTTATGGAAGCTTGGGGTAGTAATACAAAAACTACAATTTTTTTAAATGTAAATTTAACATTTGAATGGCATAATATCCAAAACATGTTTTTTGAGGAATAGCTTGAATATGAAATGATAAAAAAATGTAATTACAAAGATACTTCAAGGAAACCACCTCACCGGGTCAAAAAATACCCACTTATGCATCTAAGGGTTAACTAGCCTATGTATGAGCATTCAATGTCTTTAAACATACTCACAAAACTACTGATGCTGAAGCTTTGAGCCTCGTTGATATAATACTTGGATCACTCACTGTCATGTTAATTGTGTTTCCTTTAGGCCATCATGGAGGAGGCTGGCCTGCTGAAGGAGAGGCTCCAGGCCATCACGGTAAGGCTTTGTGCTTCTAGTAGTAACAGGAGAAAGTGAAATAATCTATATGTGAAATTGTCACACTCCCTTTCCCTTCTTCAGCCACATCTCCACTTCCTTGAAACCATGCCATTTGCATTTTCCTCGTACGCTTGTGTTAACCACAGACCTTATTTAAGGCATCTGAGCAAAAACTCAAAATACATTGACTTTGAGACGAGGGAACCTAGAAGTTCTAATATGCTTGCTCACTTACAGGTATAGGACTCGCTCCTACTTTCTTAGTATCTTAGGACCTAATGCCATTGGGGGTTCTGATACCAGATCTACATTTGCATATCTAACCTTGACAGTTTGCAAACATGGACCCAGTGGACACACTCTGAGAGGTGATTGACGCCGTGTATTTCCTCGCTGTAATAACACCTCCAATATTAAGCACAAAGAGGCAGCTCTGTTGCACTCTAGGGGATTTTCTTTCAGGCATTGCCTTGAAGAGTTGCCATCTGGAATTGAAGAGGACTTGAAACATCCTTCTTGTCTGCTCACTTCTTTTTGTGTCCTCTGGAAATAGCTATTGTTATTATATAAGTGTCTTGCAGTGTGTTTCTGTATTGGGTAATGTTTTCTCTATTTGCACCCTTCCAGTGCTGTGATATGTAGTCTGTAGAGAGTCGTTGGACCAGCGTTGAATGCCCTGTGTCATCGCTATGTCTTGATTTAGTTTCTGCATTTAGACAGACTGAGACACCGTGTGAGATGCGAGGGAGGGCTTTATATTGTTCCCAGAAGGCAATGCAAACAAGGTCGAGCATGACAGCTACAGCTACAGTTAGCAGTGCAAGATTGTTTATATTGTCCCTTGAGCCCATGCCAGATCAGCTGTCAATCAAACTTCAAAGACCCGCCCACTCAGAGACTTGGAGGCTACATTTTTCTGATGGTTCTCCAAAGACAATTGAATAGTTAATTATGTTGTTTGGAAAAGATTATTGCTGTAAAAAAATTAATAATTGAAAAATCTGGTGTTGGCCAGATGTTAATAATTTGTGGACCCTTGTAAGTATCTAAATCTGTGCTGCCTGATTATCCTAATTCATGACACTATCATTACATCTCAATCATTACTTTAGTCATTTTCCCTGAAGTAAGTCGATGAGGATCCTCTGTAAACATTTCACACACAGCTGACACCTCACCAATATGGTATCCGAACGTGAAAAAACAAAAACATGATGAACAATTAGCGCGGTGCCAGAGTCTGAGAGTTCGTCAGACAGAGACAGCACTATAAATACCAGCAGACGTCACCAGGAAGATCCCCTTTCACTGAGGCTTAGAGCCACTCTGATCCAAGATCCAGAGGCTAATTTTAGCGCGCAGTGACCCCCGTCAGTGTGTCATACATGAACACTGGGCTTGTGTTTTGATGTGGAGTTAAAGCCATTAAGCAGTGTGTTTGTCTGAGATTATGAACACATGTGTCCATAATTGAGTGTCCCCATGCCATAACTTCATAGAAGATTTGTATCTTTTCTACAGCTGGTGTTTAGTAGCAGGGAAAGTTCACGTGGTAATAGTAAACAGGTGCACACACACACACAAACAACAGGTAGGGTCATAAAGGTTGTGTTACTTTTTAGCTATTTACGGCCGTCCAGCTGTCCGCTTAGTGTTGAAGCGTCGGCCTGTCAGGACAACAGGTGGAATAGTTTCCATGCTGTCGAGCGTACTCATGATGCAACGCTGTGTTTGATTTCCCTTCGCAGGACAAAAGGAGAATCCAGGAGAACATCGCCAAGAAAAGGAGAGAGATTGAAGAGGAGAAATTAAAACTCCAGTACATAAAGGTACTTTTCGCTGCTTTTATGAGAAATGCAGGGGGAAATGTAATACACGGAGTATGTGAAATGTGATTCTAAATCATATTAGAAATGTGTTTCCAGCAGAAACTGAGCAGACTCCCAGGAGGCAATGCGGGATAGAAATGACTGAATGTGCTAGCTAATAACAATGCAGCACTCTCTGTACAAACTGAGACACAATCTGAAGCGAGGCCAGACTTTCATTTCACCAATATTAGCTGGAGTCTCTCAGCCTTATATAACTTAGTAATGTTATTCTTATTCGACACAGCTATTTCCCAACACTTACTGTCACAGTCAACCTCCTCCGGCCCACAATCCCCGTTTCTAAGTGAAACCATTTTCAGCCAATTTACTTCTCATCTCAGGAAGATTAAGGGAGACAGTGGGTGCTCCACAGCAATCGTAGAATGATGATGTGGAGCACCCACATTGTAAAAGTGAGAGAGACAAAAACAAACCATGCTGAGGAAAAACACTGAAACAATTTCCAGTGCGTTTTAGGATTGTCATAGAATTATAAGTATATCTTTTGACAATGTTATCCCTGAAAGAATGACTGTGTATCCTTACAAGCTGTATGAATAACCTTATACATAGCTTTAGCCAACCTAAGCTGGGAGAATTCATCAATTTATCCTTGATATATTTTAGTACTCACATCTTACTGACAAATGTACCTCATGTCTTTGCAGATTGTGAACATGTGTTAATGTAACACCTTGTAAATGGTGATGCATAGTAAGAAAATGTAACTTCTTGTAATGAGCTGTATAACTCTTGAATAATACTGACTGTGTATGAGAAACTCTGGGGACATCTAGTGGAGAGTTGGGGGATGACATGGTGTTGAAAACCCCTTGCACCGTGACGCCAACCCCTTTTGAATTATGAATAGATGTTTACATACTGAGTTGCCTGTGTGTCGGTGTGTGTGACTGACAGAAGAAGGCCCTGAGGGAGCAGTGGCTGATGGACGGCCTGAGTCAGCAGCAGGAGGAGCAGGAGGCCATGAGGCTGCAGGCTGAGGACGAGCAGCAGCAGAGCGACCAGCTGCAGAGCAACATCCTCAGGTAACCTGCAGCAAATCGCAGCTCATCCCACACTGAACAGGCAGGCAGCTGACACATCGTGTGGGGGAAGAAGGCACTGAGGCTGAGTGATCCCAGTGGGGGATATCACTCGCTGCAGAAGAAGAATAATGTGATTCGCTAGGGTCAAACAAGATCTATTTTTCTGTTGAACCAAGAGTTGTTTTGCCCTTTTAAACTCGTATATAGCAAGAGGGTGCTTGTGGAAGCTTGCTGGTAACACTTTCTGAGTTTTGACACATTTGCATTGGAGTATTATGGCGCATTCATAAAAACAGAAAAAATATACAAGTATTATAAAAATACATTTACCATTTAAAATATTTTTAAAAAATGTAATAAAAATATTTAGAAAAACTTAGTAGAATATAAATGTGAAAGAATACTTAAAAAAAATCTAATATCTCACGAGAGCTTCTTTGAAAGAACTGCAATCGTGCAGAAAAACTCATCAATATTCAAGTTTAAAGTTTTTTTTTTGCTGTTAAAGAAAGTGGCTCGTCCCTTTCACCTTTAAATCAACACAAGGGTGAAATTGCAATATTGTTAGAGGGAGAAAAAAGGTTTCCTAAGAGGCTGCCAAATGGAAGTTACATCATCATCTCAGCTTTAAGATGCTTTTTGGAAACCAGATGTGCAGGAGTCTTGGGAGAAGCTGAAGTGCTTTGGAACATCAAACACTCACTAATTCACTGTCTTGTTTCTACAACCTCGACACTGGCACTTTGCCTGTGTGTGTGTGTGTGTGTGTGTGTGTGTGTGTGTGTGTGTGTGTGTGTGTGTGTGTGTGTGTGTGTGTGTGTGTGTGTGTGTGTGTGTGTGTGTGTTGCACTGTGGGAAGCAGCGAGGGATTAGGACCAGACTGTTTGACCTTAACTACCCCAGCAGCAGCATGTGTGTCAAAGCGCAGACAGTTTCCTTCATTACATCACAGCACTACTTATCCCGGCTTAGTGTCTGAACACACTCACAACACATGAGGCTTCACACGCTCTACATTAACACAACCCACTGTCCTGCTGTGAGGAACCGTTTCCAACAATGTGCAGTGAACCATGACGAAAGGATGTGTCATATTTCACCAACAACCATTTAAACCTTTTTTCTATTTCTTTAAGATTTGAATGCATCGTAATCGTGTGTTAGTTGCATATCTTTCAATGGGCCATAAGTGTAATTACTTTTCTATATTCCTTTCTTTTGTCGTGATCACAAAGCAATTATTTGGAAGAATATTGGCAGATTTGAATCAAGTCATTATACCAGTGTGTTCCCATATGATTTTACTAGGAATGTGTTTAAACGTATTCAAAATCTATGATCGCATGGGCCAGATTAGAGGTATAAAGATATATCAATGTTGTCAAACAGGACCCTGATCCTAAATGTGCCCTTTGACCTGATCTAAAGTGGTTAACGCTTAGATTAACACCTTAGAAAGGTCAGATATAATGTGTTGTTTTGTGAATGTACTATACATTTTACCCGGCAGAAAAATGAGGCTCTTATTTGATTAATTTCTTTAGTTCCTGGGGTAAAACCGCCAAATATTTTTTAATGTTATTTAACACCGTTACACACTACTCAACTTGATATGCAACGTTCCACTTAACAGTAGAACCATTTACATGTGTATAGACCTCAGTGCCATGTTTTAAAATGAAAACATGTTATGAGCGAACGCAGCAGGACTTCCCAGAATGCTGCGAGTGTGGAAAAAAAGCCCCGAAGCAAGTGTTAAGTGTCTTGCTTCATTAAAATGCATTCAAATGCTCTCTAGCTGCTGCTGTTATTAAGACGAGAAAAACGCTGCTCAGCTCGTTTCATTAATCAACTGTTTATTACTCTCCTGTACAGAATAGAGAAGGAGATCGAGGCGTTGGAAACACAGGAGCTCGACATCTCGGCCAATGAGGAAGCAGTTCTGAAACGGTTAAAAGAAGTGGAGAGGACGGCTGAGGATATAATAAAGGTAGGCTTAAAAAAAAAACTGGCTGCTTTTTATTACTTTGCTCGCTTGTGTTTTGCATACTGATTATTTCTGCTTCAATTCACCTTGAGGCAATGCATCCTGATGAGAACTAACCTTTCTTTAAACTTTAACAAACGTAATGTGAAGTGATTATTCAATTGAAGTGAAGACACAGGTGTATACTTGAAACAATGCCCCTGATACATATTGATGAACAGACACTATGGTAGAAAACACTGGAATAGAAATGTCAATAGGTAGCATTTATGCCAAAAGACAGGGTTTTGAAAATGTTATTTCTACTTAGCTAGGAAGTTCATTATATAACTGAGATGTGGGCTTCTGGTTCTTTTGGATTCTTACGGTTGTTTCTTTCTTTGGACATCAGCAAGGCTGCTAGAAGTAGCCATGCTGCTAATGATGTTAACCAAATAACTTGGTCTTATGAAGCTCAAGGGACAGAAAATCTATCATCAACGTTTCTGTTGGGTATTTTTTTGCCAACAAATGTCCTGTTTATAAAACTGAGATTTAGGTTTCTGGTTCTTTGGGATTCTTCAGGTTCTTTCTGTTGGGGAATAAATTGCCCTGCATGTCCTCCTTCGCCCTCTGATGCAGCCGTTATCTCCCATAAGGAGGGGCTGCCCTAGCATATTGTTGATGTTGCCAGTTTGTGACCGGGCAACTCTCGGTCAGAGATAGTTTTGTTGTGGCGGCACCTGGAACACACGCGCACAACAATGTGATTCAGTGTCCTCAGCTGTTTAGTCTATCGATTGAAGAATGTTGATTATTACACTCTGAACTTGTTAAAACCTGGAGCTACAGGAGGGGTCTCAACCGTGTGGTCAACTCGTGGCCCGTGACATGTCTTGTGAATTCTCCGGCCGAAGCTCCAAATAAACCGTCAGTGTTTGCCATCAAAGCTCCAGCTCTCCGGAGTCCTGACTCCATTTGCTTCAGAAGTTTCCCCCACACTTTCTTTCTTTGGACATTAGCAAGACTGATATTAGCCTCGTAGCCACGTTGCTAGCGATGTGTAAACAAGTAAAGCAATTAACTCGTGTATATGAAAATCACGCGACAGGAAATATATTATCAACTCAATTATGTTTTTGCCAACAAATGTCCTGTCTATATTACTAAGATTTAGGTTTCTGGTTCTTTGGGATCCTTAAGGTTGTTTCTTTCTTTGGACATTAGCAAAGCTGCTTGCATTATTCATGTTGTTGCCGAACAGATAACTTGTTTATATGAATAACAGGAGATTTCTGTTGGGCAGTTTTGTTGCCAACGAATGTCCTGTGTGGTAGATTCTAGCGCTTTCTACAAATCTACTGAAACTGAATCCAAAGGTCATTGTTTGCTACTCACACCATGCCGCCTGTGGCTCTCCCTCCAAATACTCTAATCTGTGCTCGCCTCTAACAAGATGCACTTACTGGGGACTGTGTGGGTGTGCTTGGCTTCACAAGAGGCTGCTTTCAGTGAATAAGGTGGCAGGTAAATGGATTTCTCTCCTGGTGGGCGTGCGGCACACATGCACTAACATGAATAATTTGCTTTCTGGTTGCTGTGTTTGGAGTGAAATTAATAAATGTGGCTTTAATGCGACATGGACTGCTGATGCACCATTAATCTGTAGCACTGCTGTGACGCTGCATCTCTCACCACTGTGACCTTCAACTACTCTGTCTTCACATTTAGGATTTCAACGCAGAATTCCAAGCAGGTACAATCTTCTCTTTACATCTGGGTTTGTTTGTTGTGAGTCTGTAACACTTTTCTTAGGCTGGGTTAACACACTCTACTAATAGATCTCACCTTATTTAAGTGTTTTAACCAACACAAATGAATGTTACTTATTTAAATAGTCATAATGCTTAATCTATTGTTAATATACTAACATGTTAACCTCAATTATTTATAATTCAGACACAGGATAGTTGTTTTTTTAGGCCCATTATTTTGGAACCATGACTTCATAATTGTAATACCATGTTGTTTGGCTACATTCTGGTAAATACAAAAACTTGAGAAAGATTTTCAGATTCATACCGATGTCATGTCTGTGTTTCAGAGATTGAGATTAATTTGAACATCTCACTTTTAGCAATAAAGAGAATAACCATACTGCTCAAACATCTTTAATTATCCCCCTTATTTTATCCTGTTTGGTGGGCTTAACAACTTAACATTCGTTGTTTGTTATTTTGTGATATGTAACTGGGGCATAATGACACCTCCTTAAATGATTATCTTTTATAACCTTACTAATCATGGCATGGCTTGGCATTTATAAAGTTTTCTCGTATCTCACTGTTCAAACTTTGTTCCTCAGATGCGATGCGTAATGCCTCCTCGCCACTCCAAGATTTACCATTGTTCTACCCTCCAATACCAACAAGAAGCCCAGCTATATATAGTCCTGGTAGTGAAGAACCAAAAAAAGGTACAGACATCATTTACTGCAGAGCCTCTAAACCAGTTAGGATGTTGAAAGTATAATAAAATGTGTTGCACCATTGCACTATGGGGATATTTTAGATGCCTGCCAGCAATTCCCCAGAGTTCTCGGCACCCTGCTGACATCCATTTTGTGCTCTTTAGGGCTTAGCTGTCTGGTTAAGACCGGGCGCTCTGATTGAAAATGGTTTCATAATGCTATTTTAAAAGCTGCAATTTTCATCAGGATGCAAATTATGAAGCACTTAGAGTTCGGTGTGAATATAACTGAACATTTCTATGCCTCCATTTAGAATTCTGCTCGAGTCATGAATCATTGACAGCAACTTTTTCATGAGGTTGCGAAAGACTGCAGCACACTGACTGAGTAAAAACTAAAAGACAGGAGGCAGATGTACATATTGTACTGCACTAAGTAGGCATTTCATCAATAAGAAAACACTTTAAAAGCATTTAGCATTAGGAAATATTTGTTTTCTGTTGATTGACTCTTTTAAAGACATGCCATTACCTTAAACTGATCACAATTCAAATGCAATATTTGAAGTAAGAGTGTGCAATCACGCCTTGTTTTTACCTCAAAGTTACAATATGAAATATTCAGATATTGATTTACAGTGAGTCTTTTCTCTATTTCAGCCACGTTTGCGATGGAGATCAGTGTGGAGCATGATAAGAGAACAGGCAAAAGTCAGGTGGTCTCTACAGCCACCATCACCCCAGAAAGCCTCCAGGAGAGGGGGTTAAAGGTCTATGAAGATGGCCGCAAGTCAGTATATGCATTGCACCCAGATGGAGGCAAAATGCCCAGTGGATCAGTTGGAGAGATGACGCCCAAAGAGGTGGAAGAGCTTCTGCATCAAGCCGCAGATAGGAACGTTCCCACTGGGGTGCAGTACCATCAACCGGCCTACTCTGCACCCTACACAGAGAGCAGGCCTTCAACACCCAGGACGCCCAATCAAACACCCAGAGAAACCCCAACCCCAACACCCAGGACGCCCAATAAGACACCAAGAGAAACCCCAACAGCAACCCCAACACCCAGACCCTTTCAGAGCTCAGTAGCACCCGGGAATGAAGCTGAAGAGGAAGGCCAGCAGAGCCAAGACCTGGAGAGATGTAAGACCCCAAAGACACCCAGCCCGATCCAACAAGACTCAAGAGGCCAAAGACCTGGAGAAGAAACCAAGCTGCCCTACTGCCACATTCCAAGACAATCGTTGGGTGACAGGCCTACGATTTCACAGCCACAGTTTGGTGCTCAAACTCCTCGAGGACTCGCCAACAGGAAGACGGGTGCCGGCAGTCCAAAGACCCCGTCTCTTGTCTCAGTCAAAGCCAGATCTGAAGGAATGCCTACAACCGTTCAGCCGGTCTACATGGATGTTGATAGCCGTTGTACTTCAGTAGCCAGCGGTCTGCTGTGTGATACGGATGCCTTCTTAGAGAGCTCTGGTGAATTCGACAGACTTTCCCCCTTCTGTTCAGAGAGTATCGAGTCTCTGAACTTCGCCAACAAACTGCCAGAGGATCTGGAATCAGAACCGGTCACCATGATCTTCATGGGTTACGAGAACGCTGACGAAGACGAAGAAGACATCCAGGCCGAACTGGTGGTCATCGGCAACAGCGATGACGATAATGATGAAGAGGCCCAATGTAGTCCTGAAGAAAGGACCGAGGAGTGTCTCTCATACCACCCAGAGGGATACAAGAGCCAGGTCTTCCAACCCAAAATGGGAAAAGCCAACGTTAGCGGCCGCAGAGACATTATTGATGATGCCTACTCAGACTGGAAGGATTTAGGGCTCCACAAGCCCACATTCATCCACAAGTCTGGGAAGCCAAGTCCCTACCTGCAGGGGCATAGGGGGGAGACGGCAAACACAGGAAGCATCAATATGGAGGAAATGAAGCTCTGTTCAACAGGAAGATAAGAAGGAGAAACTAGGTCATTGAAGAGGAAATGTAGGAGAATAATTTAAGTGATTTGTTAAGTGATTTTTTTTCTTACAATAGGTTTGAAGATATCTCAGCCTTGCTCCTAACCTTCCTCTTGTTGCATTTATTGTGAAAAGCCTTATCTTGCCATAGTTTGCCTCTAACGTTGGTGTGACTGCAGCACTTTGCCAAAGATATTTATGCTGCAGGAAGCCAAACTAAATCTTTAAAGATGTCTTGTGACCATATGTATGTGGATATTCATCTTGTTCTGGGCCTTTTAATTATTGGCTGTTAACCTCAAATACATTTTAACATTTTTGGAAAAAGTGTTGTTCCAGCTTTGTGTCAACATTGTTTCTTTTGGTTTGGTGCACCAAGCCAGCTTCAGAAATGGTGTCCACAGTTATTTGTGGTTACTGTAAGTGGTGGGAGGCTGTGGCTCAGTGGATAGTGTGCTGGACTTCGAATCAGGGGATAGCAAGTCCCACTGCAGTCAGCATGTCGTTGTGTCCCTGGGCAAGACACTTCACCCCAACACCCCAACGTCGCTTTGGATGACATGTATTGTAATGTCATGTGACTAATTT